TCATGAGAACGGTGAGGAATCAGCCCAAAACTACACGGGAGGATCTTGTCAATGATCTCAAGGCAGCTGGGACCATAGTCACCAAGAAAACAATTGGTAACACACTATGCCGTGAAGGACTGAAATTCTGCAGCACCCGCAAGGTCCCCCTGCTCAAGAAAGCACATATACATGCCCATCTGAAGTTTGCCAATGAACATCTGAATGATTCAGAGGACAACTGGGTGAAAGTTTTCTGGTCAGATGAGACCAAAATGGAGCTCTTTGGCATCAACTCAACTTGCCGTGTTTGGAGGAGGAGGAATGCTGCCTATGACCCCAAGAACACCATCCCCACCGTCAAACATGGAGGTGGAAACATTATGCTTTGGGGGTGTTTTTTCTGTTAAGCAGCTAAGGGGACAGGACAACTTCACCGCATCAAAGGGACGATGGACGGGGTCATGTACCGTCAAATCTTGGGTGAGAACCTCCTTCCCTCAGCCAGGGCATTGAAAATGGGTCGTGGATGGGTATTCCAGCATGACAATGACCCAAAACACACGGCCAAGGCAACAAAGGAGTGGCTCAAGAAGAAGCACATTAAGGTCCTGGAGTGGCCTAGCCAGTCTCCAGACCTTAATCCCATAGAAAATATGTGGAGGGAGCTGAAGGTTCGAGTTGCCAAACGTCAGCCTCGAAACCTTAATGACTTGGAGAAGATCTGCAAAGAGGAGTGGGACAAAATCCCTACTGAGATGTGTGCAAACCTGGTGGCCAACTACAAGAAACGTCTGACCTCTGTGATTGTCAACAAGAGTTTTGCCACCAAGTACTAAGTCATGTTTTGCAGAGGGGTCAAATACTTATTTCCCTCATTAAAATGCAAATCAATTTATAACATTTTTGACATGCGTTTTTCTGGATTTTTGTTGTTATTCTCTCACTGTTCAAATAAATCTACCATTAAAATTATAGACTGATCATTTCTTTGTCAGTGGGCAAACGTACAAAATCAGCAGGGGATCAAATACTTTTTTCCCTCACTGTATGTAGTAGTCCATTTAGCTACATGTGTATTTCAAGAAAGGCATGAGAAAACTTCAGAAAATACAAGCAGACTAAATGAAAATGCAAACCCATGCAAATAGTCCTGCCCATGTTAGAACTATACATAATATCTAATTCCATTAGTGCTAAATAAAACGTCACTGTAATCTCATATCCAACTAGACAATTACAGTTACAGCATGCAGAATTAATTTACCGGACACCTTGGTACTCTACAAGTGCAAGTACACCAGTTTTTTTTTACATTCATGTAAAGGTCAGATTTTAAGTTTCTTTATCCTTGATTAATATTGTAACAGTCATACCCGAACAAATAATATGCATCTGTAGAAAATAATAGTTACACTATGGGTGGTTGATTGGTCAGGGTGAATGTGTGCCGGTTGGATTGTGACCTTTCTGCATATATGTAGATTCACTGTGCACTCTCTTTTGTTAGGTCCACGATGGAGGCGGCGGCACGGGCAGTTCGGGCTTCCTGCGTGAAACACGAAGCGAATCGGCAGGCACTGGTGAAGCTCGGTGTGCTGCCCCTGCTCACGGGCGCCGTCGCGGTGGTGGGTGCACCCAACACCGTCAGGGAGGCGTGCGCCGCGCTGCGGGTCATGACTTTCGACGACGACATTCGTGTGCCCTTTGGGCAAGCCCACGATCATGCCAAGATGATAGTGCTGGAAAACAGTGGCCTGAAGGTGCTGGTGGAGGCGTCAAAAGGTGCCCTCACACGTTCTACCCCCAAATCTGGTTTTCATTTTATCATATTCCACTCGCGAAAACACACACCTCTGTAATTGTTTCTTTTGTGTATTTTCGGATGAGTATAAAATAATGTTCAAAGTAGTGAGGATTTGGTTCAAAAACAATAGATGAGTTCAGTGGCTCTGTAAAATTTTCAGAGTTTTCTCTGGCTCACTATTTGGTTGATAGTCTGGTTGTTTCCGTAATCTCATGCCAAGCAATTCAGAGGGTCAATGAAGCCCATTTTTTCTCCAGAGTTGATCAAATTAATGACAGTGCTAAATAAACAAAAGCTGCCCCAATTGAGAAACTGGCTCATGTGACAAAATTGTGTAATTGCTACCGCTGGGCCAGAATCACCACTAAAGACAAGCACTACTCAACACTAATATTTGATGTAGCCCACACACTTCTGCTTTTTTTATTTATTGAGATGTCTTACTTTTTCCTTTCCCCACTCAGCTTACCCAAATAGTCTGCCCGTTCTGAGTGAGCTGTGTGCCACCATCGCAAAGCTTGCCGTCCGGAACGAGTTCTGTCAAGATATTGTGGAGCTCGGAGGACTCAACTTTACTCTGGCGCTGCTGGCGGATTATCTGGACCACCAGGTGTGCATTTATTTAAGTGCGGAGGTGTACATCACAGTCATATACACAAGAATTAAATGTAATTTAAATTATATCACAATGAAGCAAGCAACTGCTTGCTATACTGCCTCATACAGACCTTTAGGTAGTCCTGGAGGTGGGTATAATGCATCATGTCCGCATGGTCTGCCAAACCCATATTCAAAGTACTGGATTGCAGGTGTGTGCAACCACAATGCCTGCCGGAAAAAAAAAGAAAACCTCTAAAATCTATGCTGGTTCTCACAACTCTTTATCCAGGATCTGGTGAAGAACGTCCTGAGCACACTGCGTGCGATCGCGGCCAACGACGATGTCAAGGAAGCCGTTGTGGCCGCGGGAGGAACCAACGTCATCGTTATGGCCATGAACCACCATCTCGGCAACCCGCAGGTGCCTGGCTGAGTCCTTCATCTTCCAATTGACTAACGTGCGCATGCTTGTACAGTGGTATAGTGGTTGGCGTACTGCGCCACGCACCCGGCAACCTGGTTTCCATTCCCAGCCATGTCTAACAACATTAGTAACATCAGAACCCTTCCTGGGCCTCCCCTAGGCCAACTCGGTCTTAAATAAGTACCAGGGGGCAATCTGGTACTGGCCACACCCAATCCACCTCCCATGTGCCATGCTGGCCTTAATAAGTGCTTGTTAACAGTCTATAAAGGGATCTTTGTATTTTGTATTGTTACATATACATTGCCACCACTCGTCTTCCAACAGCTGTGCGAGCAGGCATGCGCGGCCCTCTCCGTGATCGCGCTCCGAAATACGCAGAACTGCCGCGCCATCATAGAATGTGGCGGTGCATTGGCCATTCTGCAGGCAATGAAAAATCACCCTAACGAGGCAAACGTACAGGTAAGCCCTGATCGCATCGCTGTACAACCCATCTGTGGTTGTTGACTCAATCCTGCAAGAAAGAGACCACACTTAAATCGTGTGTTCAGCTGTGCATTCTAAAAAAAAATCAGATTGTGTTATTCATCATTATCAGCCATAGTCAACTGTTACATGAATAACTCCCATTAGTCATCACCATCTCTCTATGGTCCTGTGATAAAAAAAAACAGTTTTGGTGCAGGGGAAGGGAACCTAGAGTCCAGTCTTAATTTCATACAAAGCTAGTGGCCTTACCACTTTTAAACGGCCCGCAAACAATATCCGGCAATGCATACATCTTGGTGACACAAAATGGGTAGAAGAGGGGAATGTTTTTGACCTTGCAATGCTGTTTATAAATTTTAGCGTGCTCAAATCACTTCTGCCAGGGCCTGTTGCAGTGACAAGTGACTGGTGTCTATCGTGTTCACATGTCATTCCCACAGAGGCAGGCATGCATGGTTCTGCGGAACTTGGTGTCACGCACACAGGAGTTGTGTAAGCCACTGCTCGAGCTGGGGGCAGAGCCACTCATCTTGCAGGCGCGCGCCAACCACAGCAGCTGCCACGACGCCGCCAAGGCCGCCCTGCGCGACCTTGGCTGCAGCGTCAAACTTACCGAGCTATGGACGGGCGAGAAAGGCAGCATCGGCAAGTGACAAGCACCCACGGACATCTCCGGTGGCCAAGCTTTGCTCCACACCGTGGCAGCATTGGGCTGCTCAAACTGTTGTGGAACAATGAGCCAACTCTTCATAAGAAGCCTTCTGTCACCTGAGCTCATCGAATGCTTGCTTGTGATGGCACTACTTTACACTGTTGTGGCAGTCGAGTGTAAATCATGACTGTTATGATTTATCTGAAGGTCCACGGTTTCTTGAGAATGTTCATGATTAAATTATTTAGCCATATTAAGTGGTTATGTTTACAGTGTGTGTGTGTGTACTCTTAGTTCTGCAGTAAAAACCTGGCTAGCCAGACCAATAAAGCGGGTGAACCCTGGTTTGGTTGGAAAAGGATAGTTTGAACAATATTGTTGAGCAAATAAAGTTACAATCCATTTCAAATATAAAAAAATAATAAAACGAGATGGCTTTAACAGTTTATTTGGGCAGTTCTCACATTCATATTTATGTTATTAAAGACCTATTCTAAATTTGTGTGGTTTTATTGTCATACCCTAAATATGGTCAGACATTGTAATGTTATTCGTAAGGCAATCATAAATCATATTTGATTCGTCCAATATAATTGCTTTGAACAGAAAATTGGCCTTTCACAAACTGTGTTGTATAATCTTACGTCTAACAGCTTAAGGCAACACATAATGAGCAGTTCCTTTTTATAAGACATTGATATACTTTACTATTAATGTTTGGGCAGTGTTTTTCACTGGTTGTGTGCAAAATGGTATAATTAACATGTATGTCGATATAATTAAATATTGAATATGCGATATTGTTGTGATCAAACATTTTTATCATTTACACATTGCTAATTCACCCTCTGGAAAATAAGGCTTCTACTGAAGTACTCCACCTCCAAACATTTTAATAACCAGCCGTTTTGAAATAACTTTGTAAATTAAGAGGGTGGAGCATGCATATAAAGACCAATATTTTTCAAAAAAGGCACTTAGCACATGAATCTGCAATTCCTTACAGAATAACTTAAGTTCACATGCAAACGCACTCATTTGTTCTGAAACAAGTGAAAAAGGCCAATATACATATGGTGACATAAATAGCCAGTGGCTGGAATAAGTTTGACATCTATTATAAAACACGATCATGCTGCATTTAATGAATGTTACAACTTAGGCAATCCCACGTAAGATGATGCTGAGGCACAACGAGTATGAATTTTCACCTTAAGATGAAAGCAAATATTTGCTGAAAGCAAAGGATTTACAAAATTTAACCACATGTTTTGCGAATTAAACAATCTAGCACGAGTTAAGTGCAGAGACTAGCATGGTGAAATGCACAATTAAGTTGTGAATAATTCTTGACAATTCAATGCATGATTTAAAGCGAAGCTAAAAAGCAGCTCACGCTGTTTATAGTGTGAATTTAAAAATGACAGACACATACAACTTGCAGCAAAGGTATTTAAGGTACTTTGGTTACCAATTGGCAAGTTAATAGCTTTTTTTTAGATTGAGATAAGTGCATTCCTATATTTATTATTCTTTCACGAAACACAATGTAAATTTTTGAGAAAATTACACCAAAGAAACGCACCATGATATTCTGCCCATCTTTGTAAGTTCACCAGTGATGTAAACAAAAGCTCATCAGGACAATAGTTGTAAACGATTTCACTACAATAACAATTTATCCTTATGGCGGTACCCCGGGGTACCAAATAATACAAAATGGCCAAGGCAATGAAATATTTTATTTCTGGGACACTATTTTTTCCAGGGGTGTACTTAATTCCGCGACTGGGGGTACCAATCAATCCGAAATCAGTGCTGCTCCGCGATGTCGAAACGCAGCGAGGACGATTACGCTGAACCCCTGAACGCTCGCAGTACGCACCGTAGTACATCGTGTACAGCTCGTCGAGATGAGTCGATTGCCGCATCGCCGACCATCAACAGACTAAAAATGACTGGATCACAGACATTACGCGAGAGCCGGGGTACGATGATACCCTGGGGTACGGCCATAAGGTTCAATTAACAAAGATGTGCCAGGTGTCCCAAGAGTTCGAAAGAAGCACATCGTGCTCAGACTAACAAACAGCGAAAGAGTTTGCTTTAGGATGTAGGCAGGCAGGAGGGGGACAATCGCCACTGCCATCAGTCGCCCGAGAGGTAGCGTCTCCAGTAGTGCAGCACCGTTGGGGAGTTGAGTGCTCCGAGGAGAAGGAGAATGAGGCCGTAGACCGCCATCCCCACCGCAAACCGGTGCCGTCCCAGCCATGATCGCTGCCACGGAATGCTGGAATTAGATTAGAATTAAAAATCGGCACCCATTGTATCAATGCACTGCACTGCTGGTTGTGCGTTTAAAAGTACATTTCATTAAAAAAACCTTTCAGGAAGTACAAAAAAATACATTGTTATACTGTCATATACTCTTCGGTTCTTTCGGTAAAGTCACGTAGGTAGAAATTATTTATTTTGTTTTATTTCTAAGTACGTGACTTTACCAAAAGAACCAAATAGTATGGATTCCTGCAGTCACGAAAGCTTCAAATCAATACTGTAATATGTTCCCACATCTATATTCCCCAGCTTTGCCAACCCGCACTGGCCAACATGCTGGTGTATGGTCAAATAAACCCCGCAACCTGTATCAGATGGGAGGGCCTCATCCAGCAGTGGTTTAACAAACGGGCTGTACATATAGTCTGACCTGTGATGCTGAGACTTCCGAGCGTAGAGCAGAAGGTAGCGCACCCGCAGGAGCTGATTGTTGGTGACGACGTAGTATTTCTGTGGGACGTCTCCACCCTCGCTGTGCCGTGCACGTGCCCTCCTCCGGTCCAAGCCGTCGGCATCTGAGCAGAAATGTATTTGTAGTTTGTAACTTTAGACTATGTAAGCATGTTTCATTCCAGCATATAAACCATAGCATCTGCTTTCTAGTGTCATGAACATCACAACCATTCATAAAGCCATTGTTCAAACAAATTATTGTGTTAAACATATAATATATATGTAAAATAACCATGGGATTGGTGAATTTATCAGTATTCTGGCTGACTGTGTGCTCCTAATTGAGATGAAATTGAGCCCCAAATACGTAAGCGCGCAAATGAAGCCGGGCGTTGTCGGACCTTTCCGCTTGACCTGACACTTGACGTCGGGGTGGTCGATGACCTCGCACACCGCGACGCAGCTAAGTGCGGCACCGAGAGCGCTCAGCCTCCACGCCTGCGAGTGCGGACTGTAGAGCAGCGCCAGGCTCAAGTCGCTTGTTAGATAAGTGCCCTCGCCAAACAGCGCCGTCTGCCAGCGCGTGCGACAAACAGTTCCGTAAAGTGGCCCATCGTCTCCGGTCACATGCAGGTAAGGATTACAATGGCATAACATTAAAATTGTAGTATACTGCCTTTTGAGGATAACTATTTCAAAGCACTTTACAATTATGACATAGAACCCTGTAATGAGCTGAGTTACTAAAAGAGAAGTATTTTTTTCTCAGCCATAGAAGCATTTCGAAGTGGATATGATGGACTGTTAAGTTGACCCAGGATAGGATTGATTGGAGAAAGAAGATCAGAAAGGCAGACCCCCACATGAATGGGAAAAATGCCAGGAAGGAATTAATTTTCCCCATAATGTGCTGCAAACCTAGACAATCTTCGGCTCGGCCCGCTGTCATCGTGCTTTTTGAAACATTGGAGGGGCCATGGGGTGAGAGGAGAGCACGCACCTTGTTGAGGTGGCAATGCAGGCCGTTGTGGAGGATCGAATGGAAGTTCTCAAGCCGACTGCCGTGGTAGGCGTACAGTATGTCCAGCTCCCCACGCATTTCCCGAAACCGGCGCTCGGCCGTCTCGCTGTACGTCACCGAGAAAACGAAGTCTGGCGCGGGGACCGGCACGCCTGGGGAACCCGTCAGTGCCTCAATCTTGGAAAACTAGGATCAGAGAATACACAAGGGTTAATTTGCATGGAGTACACCAACTACTTATTTACATGAAATTAATTTAATAAATTTAAGCGTTTAGGTATTTTTGGTTAACAAGAGTCCAGAACAATTACATGATTAAACTATTACATCCACTGCTGGCTGAGGAGTTCCCCTCACCATGTCGGTTGTGGGAGTTTTTTTCTTAATCATACTTCACCACCCTGGTCAGCATGGGTTGAAGGTGGGGAACATAGATATGGCAGCATAGTACAGTGCAACGATGGCTTTTGCTACACTGCCCTATGCAGCAACCGATAGAACCTGTTTTATGCAAGGTGGTCACTCATCCGAGCGTTCAACCTCAACCGGCTTAGCTTTTGAGATGTAATGAGATTGGGCACATTGCAGGCAATTTGGTCATAGGCAGCAACGTTTTACAGTACAGTAACTAAAATAAATAAAATGAAGCAGGCGTGCTTTAGTAAGCACGTGGCGCCATGGACGCAGAAATGGCAAGTTCCTGGCTAAAGCTAACGTGAGTAGTGTGATATCTGAACTGGGTACCTTCAACAAGGTCAAACAATCCCCATGACCGAAAGACATGGGGAGACCTTGAATTTCCGAAGAGATTTTATTTATAAGTTGAAAACAATAATTCCAAAACAAACATTCTGCAATGACCATCTGACATTTCATTTTATCATCAGTCATAACATAGCATAAACTGTTATAGTACTAAGGATACGTTACAAAATTTGCACGGAATGTCAATTAAATCGCTCCACAGTAAAACTAGCATTGCATCCACGTAAGACTGACTTCTAAAAATGTCAGTTTGCTTGCCTTAAACAGCTATTACACAAACATCACGAAAGGCAAAGCAAGTGACATTGGTAATGATCTAAAGAACATACTGCTATCAAGACAATCAATGGCATGTTCGAGCATGTGAAGCAAGCTTGAGGAAAGCTTATACAGTGACCATATGCATTCATAAAAAGCAATCCCACTAATCAATGGCAGCCCTTGGCAATTAGAAGCCTGAGTGATGAACTGGGTTTTAAGATGGAGTTTATGTAAATACACCTTGGCTTGTGATGTATTACAACATTAGCAGAGGTCAGAAAACAAAGTGTTGATCAAAACAGTGGCTCGTAAACATGCAATCTGGATTTAGAGTGTGTGAATGTAATCACACTTTAAATACGCTTTAAAAACTGGGGAGACACGTAAGGATTGCCACACATACATAATATCCACAGCACATTGCATATTAGTCCCCGAAGCTCTATTTTGACTACTTAAATAGCTTGTATAATTTTCCATCATTGTCCCAGACATATTTGCCAGGATATACGAATCTTAAGTTCAACACTCTCCCGGCATTATCTTTTGGTAAATTCAAAGGTGAACATTGAGACAAATTGGAGAGGGTTTTTTTTTTCTCTCATATGTTGTGAAAGGGAGCAAATTAATTAAATGCTAAAGGGAAGAGACAGGAATGGATGGTAAGGTTAACAATTAAGACACTTTATACAGACATATGGGAAGAGTTTAGACAGGACCTGAACAGAGGGAGGTTTATTATTTTGTATTAGATTATATTAACCAAGTAATAACACCAAAGTGTACAAAGCAAATATAAATCGAGAGCAAAAACAATCATAGAAAAATACAACCAAGAAAATTGAATAACCGCATTACAGAATAAAAAAATACCACGCAAACATACATTTTTAATTGGTTCAGACAAATTACTTTTAATAATTGTTCACTGTACAACTGAGTTACGTATGTTGAACTTCGTGCGCACCATAGGTAACCAACCGTGCTAATCGGAGGTGTTGAGAAAAGGTTAAAGAAATAAACATTCAAGTGGAATTTGGATTATAATTCCACCAGGATGTTAACAGACAAGGCTATATCTCAACAACTATCAAGTTTATACAGTACAAAATCGACAATATAAATATAATAAATAGAACCCAGGTGGAAAGCTACTGTTTTTGAGACCAAAGTCTATGTCAGAGTGTGGTTGGTGGTGGTGGGGGCAGGAGACCTCTGTTGCGATCAAATCATGTGCTTCACCATAAACACCACCCACCGCGCACCCACCACTACCACATTCAACACACTGGCTATAACGATGATGCCTGGCGTTGGCGACCACACCACATGACCTCACCACATGACCTCACCTCGTCCTTCCTCTGGCTGCAGACGGTGAAGTGCTTGGACGTGAGTGCCCAGTGCAGGAGTTCCAGGATGCGGGGAGCAACGTCCACGTCCTCGCGCAGGAGCTGCTGCACGCTCGGCACGGCACTCATGTCCGCCAGCTGCACACACCCATCCATCCGGGAAAGAACACGTGGATCGCGAACACATTTGTGAAATAGTTCAGAAAAACCCGACACAGGTGGTTGTATCTAACAGCCGTCGTCGGTGCAGCTTATGGTGGCCACCTTTTTTAAAATAAAAAAATTCACTGAAGACCAAACCGTGCGATTTGTCGTCACAAAGGTCAACACAAATCCACCAGACCTTGGTACAAATTAACTCCTGGCCACCTCAAACATTCCCTTTGACCTTCGTGGACCAAAAACGCGGGTTTTGTTAAGGAAACTCAAATACCCGGAGTCACCGCATGTGCCCGACATTTAAGCACCCGCTGCTCTTAAGTGGGCTTGAGTGCAATTATTATTTTTAACAAGAAATTATCCGATCGATGTCATCTGTCCTGCTTTGTGCTTGGATGTCTCTTCCTTCTAATATTAGAAAGCCACTGGAGCTACGAACTCTTAAAATCTAGACTGAATGGCAAACCTCGTGCGCTTCAAGTCAAGTAAAATTGAAGAATTCATTGCAATTCCTTATTCTACAGCAGCACGGAGCAAGGAGGTCTGTTGTTTTTTTCCTATTGCGGTGGTTGCGAGTTCTGAGTGGGCAAGGCGATGATTGCCCATCTGACATTGGTAGACGACCCGAGTCGTCGAATGAATGTTTTTTGCAAGCAACTGTTAAGGCCCACGTGGGGGGATATCGATGGAGTTGGGTCCACAGTCGTGCAATGCAACAACAGATGCTGCTGCTGCTAAAGCTGATACTGCCCTCTGCTGTCACCAACCACATCGTGGCAACGTTTACCCGCACTGGCGAACAGTATTCACACGTTCCTTCGGCCGAGGAAAAATAAAACGTGCAAAGTTGTAGTCGAGCTGCGCGAAAATCTCCTTTCTGAAATTAACAATGCAAGACAAGCTAGAGTGCGCGACCGTGCCCATTAAACACACACACACAAACTGCGAGTATTGGCCTCCTTTAACGGGACAAGGATAAACAAACACAACAACTCGCACGATCTCTCGCCGAGGCTCGTCAGACGTTTTAGACACTTGGCTCCTGAACGTAACTCGCTACCGCACGCAGGAGCAGAACCTCGTCAAGGTGAAACCCTCTCCTCGTCTCCCAGGCCCCCCATTCCCTCACCAGGGCTGTGAAGTCCTTGCCATCCTCGCCCCCGTTGCCGTAGCCCGACGGGAAGGGCCGCAGGAGCGAGTGGCGTCTGTAGCCGAGGAGCGCGGCCGCCACGAGGCTCAGGCGGAGGTCGGCGGCTCCCGGATCGCCGCGCAACGCCTCCCGCACGGCATCCCCAGGGCCTCTCGGTCCCACTCGATCCCCGTCTTCGTGATCATCCCCACCTTCACCACCACCTCCACCTCCTTCTTCTTCTGCTGCTTGATTTGCCGGCTCCCAACCACGCGCCTCCTCCGCCAACATGCTCGTGTGGCCGTGTCGATTTAATGAATCTTATTGGTGGTGGTGGTTGCGGTGGTTCTGGTGGTGGTGGTGGTGATGTTTAAAAGCCACGAGTCCGCCGCGGTTGTTTGTCGAGAACGAGGAGGCGGTGTCAGCTGTGACGAGCAGGCAGAGTCGGAGAGTAACAACGATGGGGTGGGGGTGGGGGTGATGCCACCGCCACCATCTTGGGTAGGGATAGCCAAATTTGCTGCCCAAATGATTGAGAATCCCTTTTCCTCTTCATCAGGGAGTAAGTAAAGTTGAATTACGATTTAAAACTTTCGTGACTGCAAGGAATCATCTTCTTTGGTTCTTTCGGTAAGGTCACGTAGAATGAGAATAAAATAATAAAATAGCACAATTAAATTCTCACGACGTTTCGTCTTCAGGTGAAAGGTACAGACCTGTCGTATCGACAGGTCTGTACGTGACCTTACCGAAAGAACCAAAGAAGAAAAAGTAAAGTTGTGTTAATGGCAACATAATCCTTAGATGTTGGGCGGCCCTAATGATGTTCTCACAAGGGCTGACTCTTCAGGAAACGCCTCGAGATTCTATAATCAATATGCTACTAGATTGGCTGAATGGCCCTAAACCATGCGTAACCCGTATAACCCTTGTGTGTTAGACTCAAAAACACGTACAGTACTCTGCCAATAACTGTATAACTTAAATCATCATTCGTTCTGGAGAATATAACAAATTAAACAATGTATCTCCTTTATATAACCTGTCTCTCATCAGCTGCAACAGTGGTGGCTTTCTGGGAGTGCGTAATTCTCAGCAGCATTGATTCAATACAAGCAAAACGCCGGAGCGGTTTCGACATGCAGTGTCTCATCAGCATGCTTGAATCAATGCTACTTCTTCTTCTTCTTTAGTACGGCTGATGTAGAGGCAGAGCAACTAGCACAATTTCACATTCAGGTGGTCAAGCCCAGATATCCACATCTGCAGTTAGCAGCGGAGTAGTGTATCATCGCTGCGATGTCTCATTCTTCGTATTTGCGGATCAGGAATTGCGTCGTTATACATTAATTTAACAGGTAGGATTTCTCGACCAATATACATAATACAGGTTTTTTTTAGGGTTAGATCGCGTAAATATATAAATGTGTTGTTAAACCCGCCACCACCCAACACAGCCAATTAGTAAGGTTTGTCACGTAAACAGAACATGCCAATTCGTTACTAGTACAGCACACCGGTGTGTTGGGGAGCAAATCCACAATATTGTAAATGTTGTGAAGTGCTGTACGAGTAAGGAATTTGCATGTTCTGTTTACGTGACAAACTTTACTAATTGTGTTTGTCTGGTGGTGGCGATTTTAACAATCCTAGTAATCCTCCGCTCAGGGTCTAAATCAATGATCTTGAACTCGATATCTGGCACACACAAGCAAAATAAATGGGGGGGGGGGGGGGCTCATTCCCATCTCTTTTTATTTCCAATTCTCCCCGTGTCTTTTGTAAATTCTCTCTGACCGCTCTGGGCAAAGGGGGACTTTAGGATTCCCCTACGTAAGATGGCGGCGCCGCACGTAACCTTTGACCCTAGAGGGGGAGAAGGGGGTGGGGGATGTAGGGGGGAGGGGGATCCTGGCCGACCACGGAACGTGACGTCACGTCAGGAACGACGCTCAAACCCCGCGGGTCGCCCTGGATAATGCCGGCGAATTTGTTTTTATTTTTACCCGACACAGGCTGTCACTTTCACACAGTTCCTGCCCCTGTAACTAAAAGTTAATCCCCTTTTTTACGTGTAAAACTAAACAAAAACAAGCAAGTTACTGTGCTGTTGAAGTGTTCTCGAGGAATTGAAAGAATATTGTGGCGAAAGAATTACGTTGATTTGGAGGACAAATTGAAAAGTTAGAACTGTTTTAAATGAACCGTGTCAATCTTCCATATTCGTTACTTCCACTACTTTGGTGTCGCTATCTGTCATTGTGTGTATGTTGAAATTCTTCTGCACCGTACGTGGCCAACCGCGCTCACCGGAGGTTTAATCGGTAACACGGACATCCCTTTTAGCCAGTTACCCAGCTAGCTTCAATGACAACCACCCGCAGCCATGGATAGGAGCCCAGCCTACGATCCAGCCAGGAAACTCGAGGCAGACGTTATTTTTTTTTATTGGCATGATAAATGCACGTTCAAATACTCGCTTGCCATATCGGTTTGCAATGTAACGTAGGATATTCGCTGCTGTGTTTTTCATTGCAACGTTAACAATCTAAATTGGAAACATTTGATAACGACGCTAACGTGGTGTGCTCCCGCTGCGTTCAAAGGCTTGGAAGAAGTATGGCTAAACATTCTTGTTACCAAAATCGGACAAAAGTGCTATTTAACACGTCGGCTTTCGCGACCAATATCATCCATAATGGAGTTTATTTTGGGTTCGATCGCGTAAATATATACATGTGTCGTTAAACCCGCTACCACCCGACACAGCCAACTTGTAAGGGTTGTCACGTAAACAGAACGTGGCCAATTCGTCACTAGTACAGCACACCGGTGTGTTGGAGAGCCAAGCCACATTTACAAACTGAGTACGACGTTTCGCCAGTAATTACAACTAGCTTCATCAGGCGACAGCCAGATTAGTGGAGAAGTCCTCCTGTTTCGTTCCTTATATAAAAGTGATATTAAACAATACTTGATTATTCAAGTAAGAAATCCAGTGGTTGTGTTGCCGTTGTGATGGCCTGACTCACAATCTGAATTTGCACGTTCACATCCCTGTCTGTGATCCAGCTCAGCATATCATCTTTCTTGATGGGGTCGATAAATCGAGTACCGCTCTGTGGAAAGTCAACTGTGGTCTTCCCCAGGTTTTCCCTATGGAATTGACAGGCCCACCCTCCCCGCACTAGAATGTCGAATTCCAAACAACTGTCTCGGCTGTAAATATAACCTTAATACTCTTCTCCTTCATTACTAATTTTATTATATTTATTTTATTAAAATAAATCTAAATAAAGTTGCTGCAGCAGGCAGCGGGCATGAGCCACGCGGGGCAGCCCTGCGTGAGGTCACGTGGTCGGACCCCGAGGCCCCCAGCAACTATCACATCGCGCGCGCTACCGACTTGTTAGCCCTTGTTTTTTAATTTTGTTTTTGCACAATCTTACTCGCAACTCACTCTTACGTTCTTGCGAGTACTTTGTGATACATTCCGGTGTTAACTCTGTGCGTTGGCCTGAAAATGGTGAAGCGGCCGAACATTTTAATCACGGGTAAGTCCCGCAGACGGGCGGCCTACGACAAATGTTGATTCGGCCGCGTGGCGAGTAATCTTGGTTCTGCTACTCTTTGGTTCTATTGGGTAAAGTCACGTAGGTAAAAAAATAAAATAACAAAAATCACGACGTTTCGGCCACAACACAAGCGGCCTTCATCAGGTGAAGGGACGAGACTGTCTGGAGGACAGCGCTATTTTTTTTTACCTACGTGACTTTACCCAATAGAACCAAAGAGTATGGATCCTAGCAGTCACGAAAGCTTTAAATCTATCATCTTCGTTCTGCTTCGCGCGCTACCCATTTGCACTTCGTACAACCCGCACGCACGCACTTGCTGATGTCCGTGTGAGTTATTTAACCATACTTCACCGCGCTGGTCAATGCGGGATTCCGAAGGCCTTCGCGTGCGCGGGACGCCGTAAGAGTGTACTGTACTGCGCTTGCGTAGGATTGCGGTATTGGTTGATACACTGACTCATTTAACTTGTGTTTCTGCTCAACTTGAGAGCGTTGAGCAAGGCTCATCTTCGACGTCATGTAAAGCAGTCTGCGAAAATTCCACATTAGTATGGTCGGGACCGGTCTCTGGCTCTGCCTCCTGTTTCTCTCGCCACAAAGTAGTGAGTGGACTCGAGTCGCTTTATCGACCCTCTGGTCAGCTGCGCTCGATTTACAGGCAAGAGGTTTGCCAACACAAATCGTGATCGGGGATGGGCTCGGCCCATCATGCTTTCTGGGTCGATAAATGATGTACGGTACAGATAATAGAGGTCGTACTTTGTACAGTCACAGACTGCATCTTCCATAAGAATGTGGAATGTGCATCACCAAGTTAGTGTCGCCAACAGTCGAGCAATCGCCATTTGCTCGCTTGAATAGGGACACTGACTTCATCGTTTTCGATCATCGCTTTAATGATATCGATTAATTGATGTTTGGGGAAGAGCGGTGGCACAGTGGTTGGCGCACTGCGCTATGAACCCGGCGATTAGAGTTCGATTCCTGGCCACGGCTAGCATCAGTGGCGAGTGAACCTGCCCCAAGTCCCTCTCCCACTGCACCAACATGCACTGACCAGCGTGGCGAAGTATGGTTAAACAACGACCCACAACGGACAGTGCATGGGGAGACCTTCATCCCAGCAGTAGATTGATCAATAGCTGTTAAAACGTGATAGTGAGTTCTGTGGAAGGTACGTTGTTGCTAAATTAATATATTTTACTTTCCTAAAGTACCTTTCTTGTAAACAACAGATATCTTGGTAGTTTTTTTGTAAAGTGCAGTCTATAATAACTCATTTGTCATCTATGAGCTTGTGCAGGAAACTGCAGCTGCTGTTAGCGTGCACCTGTTTATAGTTGTGTGGATTCTACAGTCTGCACTACTTAACAATTGGAGCTGAACTCTGCCGTGTGTAACTGCCCTTCGTGCATCTATTCTGTGTGTATCCGTTGTATCTATACGATGTGAGTAGTAACTCTGCCCTGTGTGTGTGTGTATTTGTGTGTAACTGGTGATGGCCATAGGTACCCCCGGCGTGGGAAAGAGCACCCTGGCGAAAGAACTCGCCTCCATCACGGGGTTCACCTACCTGTGTGTGGGCGACCTCGCCAAGGAAGGTGAGTGGCGATGTGCTAGGTAGCTACTGAAAGGAGAATGGTGCGAGGTTGACTTTTACTGGCGATAAAAAACTAAACTCAATCATTTTATTTTGCCAGGTGAGTCCCCACTGAGCTATACGGCTCTTTTTCAGAAGCGACCTGGCCACAAATGATAGCTCAACGAAGTGGCTTATCACGTGGACGGTTTATTGCAGCCCAATACTCCTAAACACATGTGTCTAAATGTGGAGGGAAAAACCGGAGAACTTGGAGAAAAATCCACATGACCACGGGTAGAGAGAGAAAATGCTGACTCCAAAT